AACTTCATGCACAGTGTATGTACTGTACTATCTCGAAAAGAAGCCTATGCTATTTTGAAAAGAAGCCCACAGACTTTTTTTCGAGATGGGCTTCTTCTTGAGGCTAATTTTGCAAACTAAATAGGGGGGGCTTCAATTCGAGATGGGCTTCATCTTGAGATAAAGCCCACTGGGCTTCAATTCGAGGTTTTACTGTATTGTCCCATCATAACTACTGCATATTACATTGGATATACAGTCGACTCCACCTAAGTCGAATCTAATGGGACTGGCATAAAAAGATAGAGTTATACAGATTTCGAATTTTGTTGGTTAATTATGAAGTGAAATTTAGGTACGCATTCCAATGTTTTAATTAGTGGATAATATTCTTGCTTTTAATCCTTAAAAACCATTTGGAATCAACCTGAAATAAAGACGGAACTCGACAAAGCAAGTTCCTACTGGTTACTCTTTTTAGTAGACGTCTAATTCAAATTCGTTAGATTCGTCAATGTTAATTGCAAATGCACCTCAAGATGCTATTCAAAACAGGTTGCTAATTTTATTACGGAGGAAATTTGTAGAGGGTAAAATCTAATTTGTTAGGTTTATTTAGATTTGACTCTAAAATAATACCATGAGGGTTTCTTATTTGTTTTTTGCTTTGTTTTATAAATTTGTTTAACAAAACATTCTTGATTACACCGAGCTTGTTTACTGTCACACACTATGAAACTTTGGGCAATCAGCCAAAGCACATGTCTAGAAATGAACGCAAACACAATAGAAAAATCGCATCAATTTTATAGGTAATAATTAAATTTGCTGAGCAGTACAGCAAAACAACAGGTACTGTACGTATTATTAAATAATGTGTTGAATTTACCTAGGCTAGTCTAGGCTTAGTCAAAAGAATCCAGAGCTTTGATAAATTAATTAAATAGCTAGGCCCAGACTACAACAATCTTGTTCAAAATGGGTTCAATACAAGTTCTATGAACTGAACTGGACGGCAAACTGAACATTGGAGGGATGTCTGTATTGTGTCTGTATTGTGAGAATAGACTGCAACTTACGACATACGATCGTGTGAGCCAAGTTCCGCATCGCGCTGTCTGAGATGTTAGTTTTGACTTGGCTAACTTGTTGCCGTACAACAGGGATTGAACTTTGTATTTTCCCAAGCTGCGTATTTTCCCACGTGCACTACAAAATTTGGAACTTCGACTTGTGAGGTTGAAATTACTTTAAAATCGGCCCATCCGGACCGGAAAATTCCGTCGATATAGCCGTAATTCGACTTATAAAATTCGAATTAAACAAACAATTTACACAGTAATACATAGGAAAGAATTGGGACTTTTTCAAAAATTTGACTGACGCGAATTTTCGACTTTCGCGGACTCAACTGTATATGTATAAAATAAAGAGTCAGATGGTATCAGATATATGCCACAAAATTTATTTTCAGAGTTAGCGAGTACTTTCGACTATAAGTCTTTATCAAGCTATGTATATATATATGTATATGTATATATATACATATATATATATATATATATCTGCGCCATTACAAAACAGTATAGTTATACTGTAAGTAATTATTTGGTAAAATAAAATAGGCTACAAATTACAAAAATTACAAATTACAGTTGGGTAATTCAACCATATGTTTGTCTTAACTTGTATGCTAAGTTTTTCATGACAATGTAAAATCCTTTATTTACAGAATTTCAAAAGATCGCTATGGCAACAGCAATTGGATTTGCTATCATGGGCTTCATTGGCTTCTTTGTTAAACTTATCCATATTCCAATAAACAACATCATTGTGTAAGTTATATACCTTTTTTTACTTGAAAAAAAGTTCTTCCATTTTCAGTTTAGCTTTTTGCAAAGACGGGGCATAAAATAACAAATTACGACCAAAAAAACGGAGGTCGTCTTAAACGCACGACATACAAATTTTAAGATTTTTAAAATCATGTTTGTCTTCTGTGTGGATCATCAGTAACACACAATTTACTACTGCAATGAAGTTATTAAATGTTAGTTTTAATTATTTAAATATAATTTTAAATACTGTACAATCAATAAGATTTGATGAACAATTTTTCTGTTTTTATCAGGACCATAAAAAGCAGGAAAAAGTAGGAATTCTGACCATGAAATGGGGTGGTGTTATACGCCGGACATACAAAAATCGTCCTGCAATTATCTCAAACTTGGGGGCATCTTATACGTGGGGTCGTCTTATACACGGTATATAATACACTTGACGCTCAATGAAGTTATTGGATTATAATTATATTATGGTTTCCTTTTCATGTCATATCAAAATTGATGCTTCTTGTACAATAGATATTATGTACCTGTACTATTATCGTTACTCGTTATTTCATAGGTTAATTTTATTTTCTCTTCTGCAGTGGTGCTTGATACACCTGGATAAATTCGCAACCGACTACTACTGTAACAACATTTAATGCAAGGAATACACACAACGTTGAGTCACTCCATTACCAAATCAGCTTCTTTGAAAATGGAACGGTTTCTACAATATGAACCCAGTCATCCTGTTAGTTGTAGTTCAGATGAAATCTGTTTCTGATATAGATTTCACTGTGAATTGTACATAACAATACTAATGTTTTGTTTCATTTTTCATTAAAAAGTACTAGTAATCTCAAAGGCCAATATAGCAAAATCTCATTCATATAATTTCACTACCATAAACCATAAATTTGTGCATATGAGGCATGTTGTGGCAAAATGGCTAAGTTGTAGCAAAAATTGAAATTCAAGTTATTGGTGTTTTCAGATACCTGAGTATGTGATCTTTAAAATGAGGGGTCATTCATTGAAATTGGACATTTCAAGCCTAAGTTATTGGAAAGCGAAAGTACAGCACTCTTAAGAGTCAAGATAAACATGATTTTGAGTAATTGCCTTCCAAAGTTATTTGTGCATACATTGTTTAATAGAATTAACTATCTAAATAACATTAAATAAACGATTTGTTGACCACTTCCAGAACTAATACTTTGGGAAAATAAACCGTTGATCTAGAGTGAAAAAACAAATATGGATTTTTAGGCAATTTTTTGAGCTCCCATATTTTATAGCTCATTTACTCAATACTGGCCTGTGTGACAACTTAACCATTTCGCCACGACATGCCTCATATGTTTAATTACTCTTTGATAGCAGTACAGGTAGTAATGTTTATGTGCATTTAGGCATGTCTTATTAATAGTCATTTTTTCTGTTGTATGCTTGATGATACTCTATTTGATCAAGTCATTCATTGATTCTGACAAAAATGTGTTAAGTGCTGTCCATACTATCAAATTTTCTTTGACAAAAACTGTTGTATGCCCATATATAGTCATACTTTATTTAGGCATGTCATATGCAGTTTGATAGTCTAGACAAGGCTTTAACATGTGCCCAGCTTAAGCAAAGTAAAATATTTTGAGTGTTAATAAAGGATAAAAGACCCAAGTTGTTGTGGTGTCAAAATATTGTTACAAGTAAACTCCATGAGCCCAAAAAAAAAAAAATTTCTGTTGCCCAAACTCAATCGAAGCTTCTTTTTTTAAAAATCCAAGTTCCCAAGGCTCCAATTAAAAAAACTTACAGCAATTTTATCTCTGTCTATTTACATAACATAATATAGTACCTGGAATGAGTGATGTTGGCAAGAACCCTAATACTCAAATATCCATGCTTTTTTGGCCTCATCACATTTTAGTGTTTTTCTTTTTTTTTTATTAATGCTTGAAACTTTGAAATTTGAGGGTTAATGCAATTCACACTAAACTAAATTTTTATATAAATACAGCATTTATTATTATTAATACTTTGTGATACAAAAAAAATGCATACATAATACAATCAAGGCTAGATTCTAGTATTACTTGATCAGTAATGATACTAAAAACATAAATACCAGTCAACCTGAGACTATGCTAATCCAAATGGTAGATACAATAGCAAACAAATTGTGCCCCTGTATTCTGAACGAGTACATAAAATTGCAGTCATGAAAACTCTAAGCTTCGTCAACTTTAAAACCCTAAATAAAATGTTTAATGTTTCAGTGGCATATTTAGAGGTATTAACATGGAGGAAGGCTGGTAGAGGAGCATGATCAAAATATGAGGGGTCTAACTTGAAAGTGATGTTATTGGTTGGTTACTTTTTGACTAAATTTTCTTTTTCGCAGACACTGCCTGTGTGTGTATAAATTGCCATACTGTGTCTTGATTTAAAATCGTTATTTAACAAGTGCAATTTTTTAACAGTGAATTTCAGTGGCGAGAACCATTTTTTAGGGGCCCATTGATATGCCTCTGTATTGTTCCCAGACTGAAATTACACAGATACAGTGAGGGTTAAGGTGGCAATTTTACGCTTTGGATAAACATTCAACCTACTGTTAGACTACCAACAATGTATTTCATTAATATTGTGGTCTAAAAGCACTATTTTTACTATCTTAAAATAATATGCTAAAATATCTTGGTCAGTAAGGCATTTCACAGGAACCACTAGGTGATCCCTTGATTTGGACGCTTGCCAATTTTTTTGCGTTATCACTTCAAAAACTACAGTAAAGTCATCTTTATCCCCATTGTCCATAACAATGGCTGGTCAGTTTCAACAGTCACAATCCTTTGATCATCAGCGTATGTATTAGATGTGCTGATCAAACTGCCAAATTCTAGTTTCTGATTAGTCAGGTTCCACTTCAGACCAGTTGTAGTAACATTCAGACAGGGTTGGCCCACAGGGACTAAACCACACCAATCAGCCTCAAATCCAGTGTTTGCTTCAATTATGTACTTACCCTGTAAAGACAGTGTAACTAAAATTAATGAATCTTCAGAAGCATTAAACCTCCTTCATTCGATTACAAAAAAGATACTTCTTTTATGTCAGGTTATCTATATCAATAAAATTATTATTGTTATACTGTAATACAAAGATGCAATTATACAATGCTTCTTGAGATAACAACACATTAATGGACAACATTAATTGCAGGATATTATTAGTTATACAAAAAGTAGATCCTGTACCCTATAAACAATGTTTCCCCCCCCCCCCCCACATTTTTAATTGTCTAAATCTTTATTAATAATAAAACCTATTGCCCGATAAACTTTCCAATTGTTTTTGAAATAACTGACTCACCCATGATAGCGAAATTAAAAGGATTCTAAGAGTACCTACCGGAGTAAGAAGCAAGGCAAGAGATTCCTCTCCAATGAGGTATACTTGTGCTGAGCTGAGTTTTGCTGCTTTGTAGAGCGTATTCACACTAGCCAAGGTGTGATCTAGGCGGCCTCCAAGCCCACCCAATGCTACTATGTAGTCAACCTGTAGCAAGAAAAAGAGCATTAAAAGCGAGTTGTAGCAACATGTTGAATAACTGTGTATGCTTGAAATCTTCTGATAAGAGTAGCACTTTCACCCCATCAGTCTCATAAAGCCAATACTGTACTGTAATGTTACATTAGCCAAGACTTACTTTACACTTTGTTTTGCAAACCCGCCTCTCCAATATCAATGATTTTGAATAAAAATACAATTTAATTTTTGATGAATTAGCGCACCTACTGCCACGAAAAAATGGAAATTTTAGAAAAAACTGAAGTTTTTCTTTATTTTTATTATGTCTGCCACTGCCTTGAAATCTCCAAATTAAGATATGTACCGTATATTTTTTCCTAAGTACATAAATTTGAAGCATTTAACCATCCCATTACTACACTGTTAATATTCTACAATGAAATTTTATTTTCTTCTCCATCTGGATGTTTCTGGCTAAACTATTTAGTAAACAAAAAAAAAACAACTTTGTTTATATTTTTTTCCGCCAACCTCAGATGATCTTTAAAAATACTGGAATTATAAGTTCGTAAAACAAGGGAAAATATTGCTATACATTTGCTGAACAAAGAATTGCTTGTTCTCTTTCATATGCGATATATGAAGATAATCCATGAAATCCCAGACTTTTTCCCGGTGGAGCCTTTCTAGAGGCAAATATGGTGCTGGGGTGTTAAAGCACTGGGACAATCCCTTCTCGAAAGAATCTCTGGGTACTTCAAAGTGCACACAAGCTAGTTCTGAGAGGAATCTGGTCCACCATAGTAAGTTTCAAATTGCACTGATAACAGTAGTTTGAAGAGAGCAGTGTCTCCACTGTACCAACTCATTCAAGCCTAGCATGAAATGTTCTGAAATCCAAGCATATGCAGACAAATCAGGGTACATTGCTAACTGGCACCCCAATTCGTCTGCAACGCAATCGGCAAAGTTGAACCAGGTTCAACCCACCAGACAACTGGCGGCGACTGTCGCCCATAGGGTGAGCAATTGTATGGAAACCGAGCTTCACCCATTTGACAACAACCAGCAGTAGTTTTGCCATAGCTTGAGGAGGATCAACATTACCTTATTATTATTGCATTCCTGAAGTTGCTGTGATACAAGACGTAAGCATTTGGTGAAATCTGTTTCATTCTGGTCTTCAGTTGTTACAACTTTACATCCCTGAAAGTAATAATGAAATATCAAGTTTCTACATCGTTTAAGAGTTAAATTTTAGAAATACTGGGTTCTCCTACTATATTTGTAATATAATTCTTAATCCTTTGTGAACTACAGGGATAAAATTTTAATTTGTCAAAAGGCTTATAAGAAAAATATCTATCACTATCGCCAGGCCTACTATTAGAAATTATATACAGGTGTCCCTCTAATTAAAGACCACCTCCAATTAAAGACCACTTTTCTGTGGTCTCATATTAACAAATGTCTTTTATCTTTGTTATTCTAATTAGAGACCAAAGCTGCTAAAGACCATGGATACCCAGATCCAAATAGTGGTCTTTAGCCACATCAGAGGAGTTTTGTAAAGTAACAGACAAGACAAGAGACTTGTACTTGAATGGATTCATAAACTTCTGAATAGGCTGACATCCACTAAAGCCAGGGCTTCTAAAAATGTTAATAACAAACAATAATAAACCATTTTGCTAGTCTGTGCCTCCTGAAAAAATATTTCTCACTTAAGTTGTAGTTACATCCCTTTGCTGATGGTCTATTGCCATTTGATTAGTGTCATTTGGTCACTGCTGTTATGGTTTCAAAGCACCCTCACCACTTCAACAGTTACAGGGGGAATGTACTGGAGCTCAATATACTTTTATAGGAATACCAGTGATCACTCTATAAAAATAAACTTACAATATCTCTGCAATGCTGTAGAACATCAGTGGAAATTGAGTCAAAGTCACCAGATACCAAATCTGGAACCAAACTGAAAGAACCAATATTTAACAAAACTTCATCACAAACATTAAATGAAAAAACAGTACTTGAAGTTCATCACTATGTATTGGACAGATTGGTATTGCATATTTTAAAGAAATTTTAAATAATTAAACAAAAATTTTTTTTAACTACAATACAAGGCGGTAATCAACAACTGAGAGGTCTTGGGTATAGCAATATAACAATAAACTAAACAACAGATAAAATCATTAATAATACTGTAATATATAGCATAATTAAGAAACCTAAAATAGTTTATAGTAAAACAAATAAAAGAAATATAGTAAGTACACCATTGTTGATTAATATAAATTCAGTTAAACCTCATTGGAAAGAATTGTTAATAATATTCAATATTAATAAAACATTAAATAAAACAAACAATTAAATAATTCACCATAGTTGGTATATAAAAAAATAATACCAAAAATAAATTGGAAAAATGAAGTAACTTTAAATCAGGGTCCCTTGATAAAAATAAATATTAATGCATGATCACATTCTTTGGAGTTTGTATCCGTTTGAAAATTTATAGCTCTAAATAACTAATTAGTACTGTACTTTGAAGTCAGATGAAGCACAATTGATTGGCTCTCGACTCCAAGGAGCTCATCCACTCTTTGCTCAGCTGCTAATTCTTGCTGCTGAGACATTATTTAAAAAAGAACATTGAATATATTACAGTAGGCCTATTAGGTGAGACTTGTTTTATTCCTTGTTTCGCGTATTTATTTTCTTAAAATATTATTGGAGGAGGGCAGAATAAAAATAAAAATTAAATTTTGTTTTCTTATTTAGCAAATAGTTTTGCCAAAATCATCCAGACAGAGGAAAAAATAAAAATAAAATTTTATTGGTGAATGTAAAATAGGATGGTTAAATGTTTCAATTTTATATACAGAGGAAGAAATATACATATCTTACCTTTAGAGATTTCAAGGCAGTGGAGAGCATATTAAAATAAAGAAAAACTTTTATTTCTTTTCTGAAATTTCAACTTTTTCTTAGGGGCTGGTGCACTAATTAGCCAAAAATTAAATTTTAATTTTATTCTAAAACATCAATGTTTGCAGTCGGCGCATTCACTAAACAAGGTATAAAAAGTCTCACCTTACAGCAATGTTGAGTTTAAACTCAGAACACATACATAATTCTATTTACAGCCTTGATTTAAACTGAAAAAAAATGATACAATAAAAGAAAGTATCTTCTTAATATACATGAAAAAATAAAAAAAATTAAAAAACACTGGGTTTGAGTCAAATGCCAATCAATTATTTACTTTTGAATTTCTGCATCCAGAAAAATTTGATTTGTAGCACCATCAACAGAAGCTCTGAAAACAGCTTTCTTCCAAAGTCTTTTAAGAATATCGACCTTCGTGGGTTGGTTGAGAAAAATTAGAGCATATCTTCCGACTATACAAGAGGATACAGAAAAAAAATGCTTTGTTTGAATCAAATTCCATCATGACCTATGTTAATATTAGGAAGTGGATATACCTAATATGTGAACTCATATGATATATTTACGACATATACATAACATAACATACTTTTAATAAACTTGCCAGTTGTCGGTCACATAAACATATATACACTTCATATGTTAAAGTATAATATATTTACAGAATTGCTTTATTTGTCCATCATAAAATAACAGAAATTCTTCTTAAAGACTGACAAATATAATTAGTAAATGGTAATAATTAAAAATTATATATGTAAGTTAATCAATTGCATTTGCACACATCCAAAAAATATAATATAAAACAGAAGATACATAATAAAACACTGCACAGTACAGACAGTTAAGACCCCTGTATAAAATCTTTTATACAAAAAAAAATAAATTATTATAAACAGTATTAAAAAAGATAAAAAAAAATTCCTTAAAACTGTTTATTATTATTATTATGACTGCCATCATCATAATTTTATTATCATTATTATTATTATTTTGAAATATTATTATTGTTGTTGCACATCATTATTATCGCTGATGATTAACATTAATATCAATGGCATTTGCAACAAAAGCATATCTTGATCTGTTTGTTTTAGTAACTGAACAAATAAAATTAAGTTTTGTAAATAAAATTTACATTTTGCTGATGTTTGATGAAAAAAATATTAATACCAAAAAGCCCCTCAATAAGCCATTACCACACATAAAAAAATTGATAGGCCTTAAAATTAACTACCAACTGGGCTCACATGCGGTTCAGTGCACCCTCCAATTAGAGACCCTCTCTTGACCTTTTCCAAAGACCCAAATAACAATCTTCCACCTGTTAACACAAAAGAAGCCTTCTGATTGGAGACCAACCACGAGACCACTCCAAATTATCACCCAAAGGTGGTATCGAATTGGAGGGCGAACTGTATGCCTAGCTGCTAGCCCCAACCTGTGGTTCAGTACAAAATCGAAGCCTTCCACCACCACTGCATTGCGATCTTAGTTAGGCCTCACACTTACATCCTGCGACTTCTAAACAATTCAGAGGCCTCAATGTCTTTGCTGCATGTATTAGACTGGAACTCATTTTAGGGTAAAAACAGTCTTACTGTGATAGAAATATCACAGTAAGACACATATACACACTTGTCCTACTTGATAATGATATGCATGGTAAAAAATAGCAACATTATGAATTTTATAATATCATAATAACTAAAGGCGTACACGAACATGTGGTTATTCATAACTCAGTCGATATTCAATATAGCGCCATCTATTTCTCGATAGTGTTGATTTGGCGTTTGGAAATGAGGACTATCAAACATACATCGTACTGTTAATTGATTGGTTTATTTTTGGTGCACAACTCACCGTACCACAACACAAACGGAGAATCGTTTGTAAAATAAACAATAGCACGGCAAAGAGTGTGAACGCAAGTGTCTCTTTCGCCACTGCGGTAGTGGCAAGATTACGAAAATGAAACTATCGTGGATCAAACTTCTACATATTTTTTCTGTATGTTTACTCGTTAGGAAATCGGAAGCAGATAGTAAGTATCATTCAAGTTATTGATTGTTTTCCCGATGAGTTTTAATGTATACTGATGAAGGAAGGAGTGATGAAGTAAGCTGCATGCCTCCGGTTTCCGCTCGGCGGCGGAGAGCGATCCACTCAACGGAAAACACCCTTGATCTAGGCTAAGCCTACAAACAACAGGTAACAGGTGGAATTCAAGAAATACCTAAACAAATGTACATTGACATACGGAAGTGTTGATCCCAAGGGTGGCACCTATTCCGCACATTAATGTTTCCTATAAAAAGCTGGTGATGGCATTTTTTTTTTCGCGTTTTTTCTTTTAAGTTTAAGTAGGCCTATTTACTATTTAGGCCCTACTAGACGTCACTACTAGAGGCCTAGCCTAGCTAGAGTTAGGTAGGGGCTAAGGGGGAGGCTAGGCATAGGCTATTTTTATGAACGCTTTCTGGTCAAAACGGCAACATTTTTTAGTTTTTGACCAGAACGGCAATTGACCAAAGCAGCAATAAGTTAAAACCGAAACGGCAATAGGCCTAGGCCTAAGTCAAAACAGCAATAAACCAAAACGGCAACAAATTATAAACATGAAAGTGTACACGATTAAATACGGTAAAATGTTGTAGCATAACACTACCATAACGCTACAAAGTACAAATTCAATAATCAAAGATTTGTGGAACAATATAAACATTTAAATATATATAACTTTAAAATACAGACAAAATGAGGCTAAATTGTTATAGAAGTAAAAAAAACGTGTAAGAACGATGACAACAACAAACAACAACAAAAATAATAATACATACATACATACAAATTCAATAATAAAAAGATTGGGGGAAACAATATAAAAGCAGTAAACATTTAAATAAATAAAACTTTCAAATACAGACAAAATCAGGCTAAACAATTTATGTCATAAAGTAAAAAAATGCGAAATAATAATAATAATAATAATTATAATAAATAAAACTTCAAAATATAGACAAAATGAAGCATCTAAATAATTCTTCATAAATGTGTAATAAATATTAAAAGTGGGAAAGAGAGTCCATGGCAATATTCGATTTGCCTGTTGGGACAATTTCAAAATGATTCAGAAAATTATGCGGCTAGCCTAGGTTTAAGATTTTGCTCCTTTGTCGTTTTGGTTTATGCCTATTGCCGTTTTGGTACTTGTCATTGGTTTTTTGGTTCATTGCCATTTTGGTCATTGCCGTTTTGGTTTATTGCCGTTTTGACCTGCTACCGTATGAACCACTCACTTTTTTAGTGAATGTCTTTATAAGTAATAATTGATTTTCATTTCCCCGTCCATGTGAATTATAGGGCCTACAACATACAATTTATTAATGCCTAAGACTACATCATACCTGTTGAGGCATACTGTAGCCTACAGTTTTAGGCCCCTAGCAAATCCTTCTTGCCTACCTACCTATTTATCAAGTTTAGACCTTACTGGCCTAAGCCCTAGGTAGATAGGAGGCTTAGCCCTAGCCTAGGTTTAAGATGACTGCAAGTGCAATGTTGATTAAAACAATATGGACAGTTAAAATTAAAAAAAGGAAGTGGATAATACGTGACCGTAAACAAATCAGTAAATGATATATTTACGTGGAGTAAATAACACATGCACAGTCATGCTTCTGGTTAAATGTACGTTGAGCTCAACATTCAGCACACGAAATTAGCGTCGGCACACACCGTGGTGCCCAAGCTCATCACAACACTGATTTGCTAAGGCCCTTTTGTTGGCAGGTTGCCATAAGTCTATGGTGTATGCAAATATAAAGTAATTCCCAAAACGTGTATGTTTATTTTTATGTTAAATTACATTAGCTTGGCCAAACAATTTTTGTATGGGAGAAGAGTTTCTACTATTTAAAAACCATTACTGTATTGTACAACACACGATTGAATCAACGGCAAAGCAACACACCTGAGGAATCCCTGAATTGGTTGAATGAATTTTTGTGAACAGTTTAGGACAGGGAGGTTTGACGTTCGTAAATAGGTATTTAATTATAATTTTACCGTTCTTATTGAACGTAATTCAATTTGCTACAGTAGTACAGTAGTTCATTCATTAAATAGATTATTGAATCATTTCGATAATGAGCTATAAGTATGCCTATTTGTATTATAATTTATTATGTATTATCATGACCACAACATACGAGCAAGGCTGTTTACTGTATTCCATGTATTCCATATGGGGCGTGTACAGGCGAGAACAGGAAAGACTTGCAGTACATATGGTTCTTACCGGTATCGTATCCGCGGGTGATCTACCCGCTCGTGCAGAACTCAGCTTTCAAAAAAACCATTAACCTCAGACTTAAAACCCAAGGTTCTTCACCCCATGCTTTAATTAAAAAACGGACATTGGTGTTGGTCCACTGCATGATGTTGGTGTCTCAAAATTAATGAAAGTAATGAAATGATCGAAGAAGCTCAACAATACAGTATATGAACTTCATAAAGCATGCCTATATTGCAAATTCCCAATAAATCGTAGATGTACATTTTGTGTGTAAACAACGAATAAACTTTCATTTGTTTGACAGTTGGTAGTTTAAAAACTGCAAATTACTACCATTTTCAAGCGAATGAGCAATGGCACCACTTTCGCGTATGCATGCGGCGAACGTAATAAGGTAACAATCTGGATTCTAGGCTAGCCCTCCATGTTGAATAATTTATTTTATCGAGCTTTTCAGTTTTGTTTTTGGAAATAAACTGAAAGGAGTAGAGACCACTTGTAAAATGTAAACAAACTTTTACTTCTGGTGCATTCCGAAACAATTAAAGAGCAATGAAAAAAGGATTAAGATAAAAATTGCTGCCTGCTGCTAACGCATGTGCAAATAGGTCAGTTTTGCTCCTGCAAACACTCAGCTTTTGATTATCAGTGGATATCAGCAGGCAGTCCGCGTTTAGCACCCGTTCGGTCTAGAACTGGAAATTGCCGTTTCCGGCTTCATTCAAATTAACTGCCAGATGTTGTTTTTATTATTATTAGTGTTTGAATAAAACATTAAAAATATTTGTTTTTGTTAGTGACCACATTAGTAAATGTGTTTGAATGAAAACATTAAATGTTACAGTTACAGTTTTTACTTTGTGATGACTGACTCTCATACAACAATACAGGCTTACTGTACAGGCCTAGAAGAATATCGTTTTGGTTTTCTTTTTTTAGCTGGAACCCCATTGTTTTGGCGTAGGCCTAGTATTGTAATTGTAAAGTGTGTTGTGTTCATTTAACAAATTATGCAAGTAAAATGAAAAGAACACACACTTCCAGCTCATATCACTTTTTAAAAGTTAACACAATGATTTAATAATTTATAGGCCTATACTATTGTAGGAAATTAAATTACTTTTAATAAAAACAATATTATAATTAAATCAGTGCCGTGGTAAGCTTGGGTACAGTACCGCATCTTGGGCTGATGCTAATTTTGAGTGAACGATTGTAAGTTTATTAAAGTATAACTGCGCATGCGTTATTTATTTCATGTAATATCGTTTACTGATTTGTTTTCGGTTACATAAATATATCTACTTCCAAAAAAAAAGTCCTTGATTGAAATGTACATGAAAGTCCTACAATAGTTTGAAATGGTGTACCGTCCATAGGCCTACAGTACTACTGCTGAAGTCGTTTTGGTTAAACACTGTCAAACGCCGATGGCGTACCTCATGTTGATGTATTGGTCACTTATGCGGGACACTTCTCTTAAATTTCATATAGTGTTTTCATTATTTAAATTAATTAATGTATTTTTAATGTATGTACTGTACGATATGTTTTATCGTCTCCTTGTTTGGAGGTTTTGAATAAATTTTATTTGATTTAACTACTGTAGGGGCTTAGGCCTACAGTACTTTAAAGGAGTGAGAAAGTTTACTGTAAGCCCATCAATTGTTTAATATGCGCAACAGGAGAGAAGGAAGCCAAACAAATCCCAACAAGTGCTCTCCCCTCTGCTGGAAATAAAATTCAAAAATATTAAACGTAAAAGTTTATTAAAAATCTATACTTTTGGTATGGTACAGTAGTATAAAATGATCACAGATAATTAGCCTACTACCAGATTTCTGATTGAATGTGCAAGAGTTTTACTACAGTATTTTCACAGTTCAATTATAAAACACCACAGGGCATAAATTTTACAGAAATTTTAATACTTAAATATAAATTATTCCAATAATGGTGGCAAATCCAGTCAGACATTTAGTTGTCACAAATTCTGTTATGTTTAATATTGTCCCCAAGGTACAGTTTGTACAGTCTTTCACACGTTGGCTGCCACAGGATTTTGCTGAGGGTGCTAGGGACTTCTATACTTGTCAAAATCGGGTAACATTCTAGCACTTGGCAGAGACAATAGCAAATTCTATCACAGTGCCGGCGACGAGTTTACTTGTCCCTTAATATTTTCCCTCCAATTTATTAGACACCATTTTGACTCTAGATAGAATTTCAAAAAAGTAAAAGTAAAAATGGTCTTACAGTCCATGTGTTAAGCAATGCAATAACATTTTAAAATGGCTTGAAAGCTATTCTCTACAGCAGTTCATGTGATAATTAGATTGTAGCACATCTTCATCCTTCTATTACTGAAATGTATACATCCTGGTTATGATTAGAATACAGTAGTACATTGTGCCCGGCAGGCCTACTGTGTGTATACAAATTTCTTGTTGGTGATTATGCATTAGGTATTCTGTAGTTTAGGTAGTGAGGGAGCACTTCTGAACTGTAAGCTGTTAACCACCATCCAATAATTGCCGTTGGAAAAAAAGTAACAAATTCATAGAAATTCAACAAAAAGTAAATCAAGTGTTTTTATTAATCTTTATTAATCAAAGATTCATTGCTAATAAAGTCAAGCAGTGAGTGGTGTCACAAGGATTTAATAGTTAAGGCTCAGCAGTTACAGTTACACAGAGTTACAAATTACAGTGATAATTACTATATTTATTTTAAGTTCATTAAAGTAC